TGTCCAAACGACAGGTTGCTGGCCTGACGACTAGACGAGTGGCTACCAGCAGCCCAGGGTCGCCTCCTGCGGGTGTTCACAACAACCACAGGCCCCTGTGTAGATCCAGAGATCTACCTGGCAGGCCGGTTAAGAAGAAAGAAGCGAAGAGTCTCAGTTTTACAACGTTGATGGTCTATTACCAAAAATTTATTAATAAACAATAGTAAGAATCAAAGCTGGAATCAGATCATTGTGGAAACACACTGAGCTTTTTGGAAAAATCATTTTGTTCGATTTGGTTCGAAGAATTTTTATTTATAAAATGTTACACTACATAATTTGGTAGACACAAACTGTGTCTATCTCTGTGATACAAGATAAAAATACGACCTTGAGATCTTAAAAGATTTTTAATAAGGATTTCTTGTCCTATGTATAAATCTAGAAAAGTTACATTTATTTATTATTCATTCATCAGATAGTTGATCAGGTTTATTACCGATATCATTTCCAAAATATGATGCATTCTGATTTATTTTGAGTAACGTTTGATAGAAAATTTCTATATTTTGCTCTATTCAGCAGATAATTCCTGATAACATTGATCTATGAAGAAAACATGATTAAAGCTTATTTAAATTCTTAAAATTCGACGTTTCAAAACTACAACTTTCATTTTTAGGAAAATAAGGATAAAACATTTAAACATTAGAAAACTGATTTAATAAAAAATGTACGTCAAAATAGTTGTCGTTAAGATATCATTCATACTAAAATTGAGATGAATTTTTTAATGTTATTGACTTGATTCAAACCGTCAGATTCTACTCTATGAATTTTATGCAAATTCAAAATCTTCTTTTATTCGCGTACAGCAATATGATATTAATGTTAGGAGCTTGGTGATATACATAGTGTAGCACAATTTGAAAAAAAAAAATGATTCGTAGCACTTTAGTAAAAGCATCAACAATCACGAACAAGTTTGAACTATGAAAATAGATGGATGCCACACAATGTCAATGTTTTTGTTCATTTAAAACAAAAATATGAAATGATTCAATCTTTAGTGAGAATAACAATTTGATAATTGATTCATTCATAATATTTGCTATAATCGGTAATTTTACATCAGATTTTTGATGTTCATTCTAGTAGACACTAAATAGTGCAAAATATGCTTAATGTGATTAACTATTATCTTCAATATCTGTTACTACATCCGGATTATAATATACAAGGTAAAAAGAGAAAACATAACAGTCTTATCTCATTCTACATAAAAGTCAACCACTATAGACTAGAGAAGAAAAAGAGAAAGTTTGTCTGTATTTTTTTTTAAAAATAGCTGAATTATGTGATTGTGTTCATAAAATGTAGTGAGAATATGAGTGAAAAAATGAGTTCTTTTTTGAATAATAACAATGTTATCGACAGCTGTGTCCAAGTTGAACATTGATTACACTTCATTAACTCAAAAACTGTAAAAAATAAACTTTTTATTCATACTATAGCGTAAAAATAGGTTCATTATGTTGTTCATTCACTCCTCACATCGACGCATTCATTCATAGGACGTTTCAGATCTTCTTTATCAAAATAAATTCTTTCAAAATTTTCCTTTTTCAATGATAGTATTCTTAAAATTTTTAGATAAAATTATGTACGAAATTATTCATTAAGAATTTGTTTTATCCTTAAGAGTTTGTGATGTGTAATACTTCTCGATTGTTTGTCTACTAAATGAATATAAATTACTTTCTTTCCTTGATTAAAAAAAAAAAAAGAAGAAAAATTCAGTGTTTCGTGCTCTTATAGATATAATTTTTATTATATTGTATAAAGTACATAAATGACATTGTCCCCTAGAAAGAAAACTTGTTTTTTCTCAAAAAAAATTTTTGAACAGATTCTGTAGTCTGGAGAGATGTCATAAATCAAAGGTAATAAAGATTAAAAATAGAAATAATAAATTGAAATAAAAATTATTATTTTATGATGAATCATAGTTTATCAGAAATAAATAAAATGATTTGATAGTATAATAAATTGAAGTTTGTAGTAAAAAAACTCTTAGAATTTGAATATGATACTTCTGTAGATAGAGAAATCATGAAGCTTGACAGTAGTCTTTTGACTATTGAATTGTCTCTCATTTTCTAAAATATCATTCTTTTTCTTCCACGCTTATAAACTTTCAAGTTCTGACAACTATATCAATTTTCCTACTCAATGTATGTGATACAAGCATACTTAAAGCGAAGAGTGATATTCAAATGTTTTTTTGATAACAAAAAAGATGTATATTATCTGTTGGTTGAAATCACGTTGATTTTCATCACCGGTAATAAAAATTTTGCAAAAAAGAAAAAGTTTAAAAAAATGATGTTCATTGCTGTGAAAATATTTGATGAAAATATGCTAAAAATGCTGAATTTTGCACACAGTTCTAGAACAAGTGTCATCTAACCACCGGAAACAAAGCAGAACATCCGTTTGAGAGGGTTATTTTGAATAGTGTTTGTATGTAGATTCACAAAAATATGTGTGTATGGATATAAAAAGAAAAAAAAAAAGGAATTTTTTTTTCTCTTTATTATTTGACCTCTCTTGTGCTCAATTGCCGTTTGGTGAGAGGCAATATCTAATCGAAATTGATTTTGTTTTCTTTTTAGATGTTAATTATTATTCATTGCACGTATACATCTTGATTCTATTTTATAGAAGGTGCATGAAGAAAAAACGACATAAAATCAACATTTGAAATAAGAGAACTGCAAGAAGTTGGACAATATGACAAGTTTAAGTAAGAGTAATAAGTAACATCTAGATTCAATATGATACAAATAGCAACAACAATAATAACAACAGTTGATATAAATTTGAACATATACAGATCTTATGCTAAGTTAGATTTACATGTTGAGATTAGTAGAATGTTAGTTGCTAATGTAACATGTTAACAATATTTTATCTATATTCTAGGTATAAAACGTCCATCTACAATGGATAATATTAACCTTGATTGTCCACAAATTACACTACATAAAACTAAATCAATTTTTTGTTGTCAATTGTTTGAGCAATCATCACCATTTTCGTGTTTATATGCAAGATTTCATGATTTATTATTAGAACATGAATATCATTATTTATATTTGAGAGGAACTCAACGTCACACCTATCTACTCTATATTATATATTTAATTCTACATAATTTTCTATGGTTATTTTACTCTGTAATTTTGGAACATCATTCATACAATTACACATGGCTCTATGTATTAGGATTATTTTTTGGTAATATATTATCGTGTATCATTGCATATTTAATTTATATTAAACATTATAAAAGTATAACATTTTCTCGTATTCATATTACCCTACTTAGTCTATGTTCACTATCATTTTTTCTGATATTAACATTTTCTGTTATATTTAATTATTCTCATTCTACATTTACTCATATTACTAGATTTGTATATCCTTATACAATATTTATTCTTATCTATACATTATCATGTATTCCACTTTATTTGTGTCTACCTATTAATTTGACAATTACTCTACTCTGTGAACTATTCAATTATCATTATTATCAAACATTATCTGAATTAGTGTCAAGATTATTATTGCATACATGTGGACATATAATTGGAATTTATTTGAATATTATATTAGAAGCACATAATAGAAATTCGTTTTTTAAATTACGTCAAAGTATGTACAAACTAATTGTTATATAATTGAGAGAATGAATTATTTCATGTAATATAATCTAGTGAATTTAGAATAGGCTAAAGAAATATTTACTGAATAGGAATCGACAAATTAAAAAAACAAATAAACTTTTATTTTAAGAATTTTGCTCTGCTATTTAGATCGAGATATTCGTTCATATTTATTGAATGAACATCAATTAATTTCAAAAATGATTGATTCTCTAATGCCACCAAAATATGCGAGAGAAATTCAAACTGATTTTGATTATTTTCGAGGACGAATTCAAAATATATCCTCTACACCATCATCATCTCCACTTCCACAAGGTCAACAAAAAGATGAAGAAAAACATGCTTTACCTTTAATGACTCAAACAGAGACAAACACACAAAACGATGGATCATCATCATCCATCTTTCGTCCATTACATATCGAACGTATGGAAAATGTGTCTATTTTATTTGCTGATATTGTCGGTTTTACAAAAATGTCATCAAATAAGACTGCGGATCAATTAGTAAAATTATTATCCGATTTATATGGAAGATTTGATGATTTATGTGTAAGAATGAAATGTGAAAAAATAGCAACATTAGGTACCGAAACTTAGTTAGATAACTCATATTTTTTAATTAAATGTCTTTTTTGTTGTTTAGGTGATTGTTATTATTGTGTATGTGGGTGTCCTGAGCCACGTTCCGATCATGCACAATGTTGTGTTGAAATGGGATTGTCAATGATAAATGCTATTGAAGAATTTGATCAAGATAATAATGAAAATGTTGATATGCGTGTGGGAGTACATTCGGGATCCGTAAATTGTGGAATTATTGGAACAATTAAATTTAAATTCGATATATTTTCAAATGATGTTACATTGGCAAATAAAATGGAATCAAGTGGAAAGCCAGGTAACAATATGTCATTTGAAAAAACACAATTACCAATGGATAACTCTAAAGAAAAAATGGATAAGTGTGAAAGGTTCGTTGAGAGAAGACTAATTTACAGAACATTGAAGGATGTTTGTTTATTGCGCTAAAGTCTAAGTTTTTCCATTTACACTTTTTCCCGATAGCCGCCGACATAACAGGCGTTCATCATTTTTTTTGGTTATATTTTCATTCTAGATGCTAACAGGTGTCCATGAAGCTTTTTGTTGCGTTAATAACATGTTAAACGCGTTCGCTTTTTTAGTGGGCGATAAAGTGCGTTATCAGCGTACTTTTATGATTACAAAAAATTTAAGGCAATATAACAGTTCAAATAATATATCGCGTTGTCATGGTCTTGAAAATAAATTGTGTTATGACGAGATAAAGATCAGAATATCTTACGGCTCACTAAACGTATATTCTGTTATAGCACCCTTCTTTCGATAGTTTAATCTCTTTTCAACTAGATTTCATCATGTTTTATTAGATATTTTCTTCGAGAACATGAGGCTCCTGGAGCACCTTCTTCAAAGCAAACATTCTTCAAGAAAACATTCACGCTCAGACTTCCAGTGAATGTGCATCTGTAGATCCTTGACACTCGGATCAGTTCGTTGCTAGAGCTCACCTAGCATCCTGTGACTGAGTTACTCTGACTGTGCGTCATACAGGTCGAAATGATCATCGTTACATGGGGGGAGTCAATTTCGGAGTAAATTTTCATGCTTTTAAAAATTGGGGTAGAACTAAAAAAAAAGATAAGTATTCTAAACAGTGTTCTTCTAAAGCAAGACTGAATTTTCTAACTACGAAACTGAGAGTAACCCTTTTACTCTAAAAATGGGAATAAATATCTTACTGCAAAATTGAAAGTAAATGCCTTACTCTGAAAATGGGAATAAGCGCTTCACTTCGAAACTGAGAGTAAGAGTAAAACACTGTTTTTTTTCATTTTGCAATAGTTGACTCCTTTTTATACATGTTAGAAAAACGGGTTTTGTTGTTTCTCTCAGATACATAACAACATTACAGTCTACACTTAAGATTAATATTCATTAACTAATTTTACCATAGAATATTGATTCTTCGTTACTTTGTATTTTTGCACGTCACATATATGCGTTATTTTTTTCTTATTTTCAATTATAGATAATTTTTTTCTAAGAATATCTTTTTCTTGTTTAGGCTATGTACACATAACAGAGGCAACATGTAAATTATTGTTTAATACATATGATGTTGAACAAGGAGAATCATTTCATTTTTCTACAGATAGTACGTATATACAAAAATATAGTCAAACGAACTATCAATGATAGAACTAAATGACATTTCACCATATTTTCTTCTACCCATTTTAGTTACGGTGCCAACATATTTTATCAAAAAACGACAATTACTACATCGAATAACTCGCAAACCACCACCGATAACTGAAGCAACAGCTGCAGCAGTGGCGGTAACTAATTTAAAATAGTTCAAAATCTGAATAAATCAATTTGTCTTTATTTGTTGATTTAGGTTGCATCTGGTGTATCACTTAATGTTCCACTAAATGATGTTGTTTCAGAAGCTGTTGCTATTTCAAATCAAGAACAAATTGATAATGAGCAAATAAGTCTAACAAAGCCATTATTATCAGAATTGACTCGTGTTCATGTAACTCCGTCAATTGAACTTGAATCGGTATCTTCACCTCTCAACCTTCCATTGGAATCTAATACGTCTGTATCCGATTCAACAATGTTCACCTTACGTCCTCCTCGTGGTACTACTATATCAACAATCGGTGGTGAATCAACAATGTCAACACCATCACACCATTTCGATGAAACTCATGAACGTGAATTACTTCAATCACTTAAAATTCCAATGTCATGTATAACACTCTCTTTTACCGATAGTAAACTTGAATCTGATTACCAACATTCGATCATCTATCATCATTCATTAACGGCACCTGTTAATGATCAACATCATAAGCCACCACTTGCATTTTCAAATCCTCTTTTGAACTTTTTTCTTGATTCATTAATATCATTTATCATTCTTCTACTAACATTTCTCTATTCGATAATATTAATTCTATTCGATAATATCATTCATAAAATGTCTAAATTGTGGTTAATTTTATCTCTCATATTTTTATTTATTGAACTCGTCGGTATTTTTGGAATTGGTTATTTATGCATTGTTAAATATCAATTTACTCGATTAAAAGAAAAAGAGAAAGAAACATTTATCTATTGTTCATTTCTCATTCGACATTCTATTGCCACAATCTATTTACTTTTTCCATTCGTTTTAACATTTCTCTTTCCTGAATCGTGTCAATGGACAACATATTTATTTGTAACTCTAGTAACAATCCATTTTGGACTATATTCAATGACTAATCATTTATATAAACTCACTCTATCATTAGCAACTATTATCGCATATACAATTATGTGTTATAGTCACACATCTACCGATGGTAAATTATTTCTATAAAATAAAAATCTTTTTATCAATGTTTTTTTGTACTCTAATTTAGGTCATAATCAACACTTTAATTCCACTAGTATTACAAGTGAACCCCGTGAATCTACCATCAATTATGAATTATATATTCATCTTCTATTGGCTTTTATACTGGTAAATATGATTAGTCGTCATTTGGAATTTAAACATCGTCAGTTATATTATATTGAATACAAATCAAGTGAACAACAACTTGAAATTGTTAAAGAACGTGAGAGAGCTGATTGGTTATTAAGAAATATTTTACCAGAACATGTTATTGAACCATTAAGAGTCGATAAGGGAACATATTCGAAAAATCATGAATGTGTCGGAGTAATGTTTGCCTCATTAATTAATTTTCATGTTATGTATGAAGAACAATATGAAGGTGGCAAATTTTATTCACGTGTATTAAATGAATTCTACGGTGATATTGAAGAATTGTTATTAAATAAAAAGTTTGAAAAAATTGAAAAAATTAAAACAATTGGTGCGACATACATGGCTGCTAGTGGTCTTCAAGGTAAAAAATATATTATTTCTATATTTTTATCTTAATCAAATGTTTTTTTATCCTTTAGATGAATCTGTGAACAGTTTAGAACCGGTGTATAATTTATTAGAATTTGCTCTTCAATTTCAACAAACAATGAAAACATTCAACGAAGCTCTTCTTAATTTTGAATTTAAATTGAGAATTGGCTTCAATTATGGTCCGGTAACTGCTGGGGTTATTGGAACAACCAAGTTATTTTATGACATTTGGGGTGATACGGTAAATGTCGCATCGAGAATGGATTCAACAGGACAGCCAGATTTTATTCAAGTACCCGAACATGTTGCATTAACATTAACTGATCGATATACGTTTCAATTCAGAGGAGAAGTTGATGTGAAGGGAAAAAATAAAATGAATACATATTTAGTTACAGGACGAAAATAGATTTTTTCTTTTGTTTTTAAATCTCATTTTTTCATTTTTAGTCACAATTTATTTAAGCTTATAATTTGATTCTTATTGTTATTATTATTGTATTTATTTTCTCAATTTGTATGGGCTAAATTTAGTGATATCAGATGTATATTTATATCACATATCATCGGAAAAAAAATAAAGTTGGTTTTGAGTTGCTGAAAAGTGCTTTTTCGTATTCAGCACATTCGATAATCCAGAAGATTTTCTATTTTTGGCGAGGAGTACTTCCAAAGGCTTAGGAAAACTTTTCAAACTAATATTATTGTCCCATGGAAACCTTTTTGAGCCATTTGTTTTAAAATCTTTCCTAAACTTTTGGACGTACTCCTCGCCAAAAATAGAAAATCTTCTGGGTTAGCGAATGTGCTGAATACGAAAAAGCACTTTTCAGCAATTCAAAATCAACTTTATTTTTTTTGTTACGATGATATGATGCCATATCAAGTAAAATGTTGAGATAAGATAACTAAAACTAGTTTCAGTTAAATCGTTTTTCTTGATAAAATCACAATTTGCATGCACTATCTTAACTAATGAAAAAAATATTTATTAATCATTAAATTTAATTATTCAATTTAATTAATACAAATTAATTATCAAATTTAATTATCCACTCTCCTTTAGTTATTCGAAAAAAGTAGTAATTTTACTTAAACAGAAAAAGTGTATTACGCAGATCATTTTTTTTTATTCTGACTCTTGTTACTGAGAGTGGTACATTTTACTAAGAGGAGAAGAGATACTTTTCTGAACTTTCAACTTAAAGTGTATGCCAAAAACTAATAGAGATGAAATTCAACAAAAGCATCAGTCACTTTTTAGACTTATGGTCTAGTTTCATTTACAACAAACCCGAGTTTCGTCGAAAATGTAACAAAGACACGTGCTACCATTTTCATCCGTTCACTAGCGTCCCGTATCTCATTGTTCATTAGTTAAGTGAATTTCTCGATGCTCAAAGTTTCACGATATGTTATTTAAACATTCAAGAGTTTTAAGCTTTAGTGTTTAAACACCTGAAGTTGTTTTGGAAAGTTGTACAAGTTGGACTAATCGTTTGTATCGCTTATCAAAAAACAGTGAAAATTATTTAGATTAAACAAAATACATGATTTTGTAATTAAATTAAATTAGCAATTAAATTAGCAATTTTTAAAAAAAAATTAGCTCTATAGCATGAAATCCCAAAAAGTTATGGTCAAAATACAAATCGACCATTTATTCTGCCGCACCCGTTACTCTATTAATATTTCCATAAGGTTATGTAGTGTTACATAATAAGTAAAAAATAGCATCGTCGTTCTGAGAACGATATCAAGGTCGACAGAATGGAGGAAGAACAGCTGGGAGATGATCATAGCCAGGTTGGCGTAAAGGCTGTTTAACTGATCGACAACCGTACTTTGAAAATCCACAACACATATTTGAAATTCAGGTAATAAAGGAAGAAAACGAATGATTGATTAGTCTAGGTGAAAAACTTGGCACCGGTTATGTCTCTTAATCATGGAGTATTTTTTAAGCGGCAAAAAGAAACTCTTTATTCTTTGTTATTAACAGAAGCATGACCGTCGGTAAATAAGTATTCTCGAATTGAATTCATAACCACGAGATGTCAAGAGAGTAGACTATACCGTCCCTATCACTTTTATCCTTTGGTGTTACAAATGTCTATAGTTTCGTTAACTGTGAATCAAATTTTTAGACTTTTCTTTTAGTTTTTCGGTATAACTCATAACACCCGTGTTTTGTGATACAAGAGAAATCAGTCACCGAATCAAATTTTCTCACATTACATAGTGAGAAAGCATTCTATCTAGAAATTTCATGACTAACCACAACGTACTACGATCGAACATAGAAACAGCCACTTTTTATTTATAGCTGTGACTATCTTGGAAACTTGGGCCATGGCTTTTACTACACGTGCAGCCTTCCTTTCTACAGTTATTCTCTCTACCACACAAAGAATATATATGTCAGTCATTACCAAAACAACAGTGATTTGATGTTCAGAAGTGGTCATTCATTCTCTGACTAATTATCGTTCTGACGTATTTAGAGAAACTATTGTCAAAATTCTCTAAAAGTCATGCGGATTATTACCGTTAAAGACATACATTTGTTAAACGTCATCAATCATATCTCGTTATTCTATCTGATGTTCGTAGTATCTATTAGTTTAAGTTATTTTATTAATACAAGATAGATAACAATCGAATCAGATTACACCCATTACACGATGCTGTATAGAACCAGAAAGAATAGAGAATTCTTGAAAAAAGAAGAATAAATTTTTAAGAAATTCAAGAGAAAATAATCAGGACACTTACACCACAATTTTTCTAGACGATGACTGAGACAAGGTGGGAGGCTGCGGGCATAAGAGGTAAGGATTTTGAAAACAATTTATGTAAACATCTATTACGTTCGTTCTAGATCGTGTCGACGAACTGCTCTAGCTCAATGTTCCTAAAACCGAAAAAGGAAAAACTTAATAACCATTGGAATTTGAACTTCTAATTAGAACGGGTTCAGTTGTTTAAAATAAATGTTATAAGCTTTCCGATAGATATTGCAGGGCAAGAAAAAATGCGAAACCGTTTCATCATCTCTATATTACTACTATCGTCGCCATAAAACAGTGACCGCAACTGTTTTCTGAATAACTCTTAAACGCAAACGCTAGAGACTTGTGGTTTTCATCATTCGATTTCTGAGACTTGACAACATCTTTTCATAACCACAGCGTTTTTCAAATTATTTCTCAAAAACCAGTTTTCTAACGGCGTTTATTTCTCGAAAAAATCCAAAGACTCAGTGAAAACCTATAATATGTGAAATAACCCATTTTTGCCCGTTTTCACGTAAAATTAGAAAATTCATAACTCACTCAAAATCGATCCAAACTCCGCCCGTGTATCAAGATATGCTCTATCATATCTGCACTATAGCATGGAGTTCAATACAGCTTTTGAAAAATCAACATAAAATACTTGGTTCTTGGAAAGGTTTTCTAGAAATCTTTCGAAGTAAAAGAATATGTCTTACTAATTCTAAGTACAGAATCATATTGAGCAGATATGATAGAGCATATCTTGATACACGGGCGGAGTTTGGGTCGATTTTGAGTGAGTTATGAATTTTCTAATTTTACGTGAAAACGGGCAAAAATGGGTTATTTCACATATTATAGGTTTTCACTGAGTCTTTGGATTTTTTCGAGAAATAAACGGTGCCACGAGATTTAGCGTGGTCGATAACCTATGTTTCCATTTATTTTCGGAATTACCACATCTAAAGATATATCGATCCTGGGGCTCCCAGGAAATCCGATGCCACGCCTAAACCACGCATAATTGAATGGTCGCTTGTCCCCATATTAAAGAGGATACTTTGGGCTATCTGTTCATGAAAAGAAACTAATATATTTCTATGTTTAATTTAAGAGTTATGAAATAGTTTTCAGAGAGTCGTTAGAAAACTGGTTTTTGAGAAATAATTTCAAAAACGCTGTGGTTATGAAAAGATGTTGTCAAGTCTCAGAAATCGAATGATGAAAACCATAAGTCTCTAGCGTTTGCGTTTAAGGATTATTCAGAAAACAGTTGCGATCACTGTTTTATGGCGACGATAGTAGTTGGAATTTAAGACTAAAGCATATTTACAGATTGAGAGTCTAGTAAGAAAACAAATTCTTAATCGTACAAAATGTATTTCATTCATTTTGTCATATGAGCTAATTGGGTGTTTGGTTTCAACAAAACACTCAATTTTTTTATGCCAGCTGCTTCGCATAATAGAGTGAGAAACGAAATTAAGTCAGTATAGCTGATTATAAAATTTTAACGCTGATGCAATGAATGCATGATCGTGCATAACAAGATCATTAGAGAGTAAATTGAGAAAACATAACCTGACCTAGCCCGATTGAACCCTAAGGGTCAGGTACTGATCGGGTTGCAGGTCTCTAAGGGCTATAACCATGAATAGACCATTTATTATTAACTGATAGATGTGTATGATATCATCTGCAGGAAATAGAGAAGTAGAATTGGGAATAGCTGCATTTCTCCATTTCATCTTGTGATAATGTCTGAATGGCAAATGCTTCCTCAATAGGAATCTAAGTGACGTAAGTGCAAGTTCCGTTTACGGTAGAAAGCCACAAGACTACAGTGACAGTTAGGTCTGCGTGATACTGAAAGAAAGACAGACGTCTCAAATTTGTTTGAATATGTCAGAATAGATGACACTCCCGTAGTCAATGACAAACAAAAATGTAGTTTGTAAACTAAATATAATGCTTGCCTAGCCATTACTTGACTCATCAGTTTCATGATACATAGTTATTTTAGAACGTTTACAGAAATGTAATTGACACGAGTGGTTCAATCTAGATTTTGTGTCAAAACTAATGAGGATTGATTTTGTGTTTTTTTCGATAGTTTTAGTTTAGAATATTATAATGCAATATTTTTCCTCTTGTATACTGACAGAATAAAGCTTATATCAACTAATAAGAAACATTCCTAAGTGTCCTCTTACTTTTTCCTTAAAACCTATTTGGTATTAGATTATTTTTGATACTGATCATAAATAAGTTATGTTGTTTCAGATGAATTTTAGGGAAACTGGATACTTACTCTAAATTCCATGATGAACAAATTCTGATTCATCCAGTTTGTAGAACTCGTCGAGTTAACCAAAAAAATGTTTTACTAGAACTGTGGAATAAGTTTACGACGAACGACTGAAACTGTACTATAAAGGAAGCTGTAATGGTAAACTGTATCATTTTCATATTCCAATTATGTATAGATCAATCGGAAATCATTTTCGGAATAAATAACTCTGACTTATGCAAATACCTTGAGTTTAATTACTACTAAGGTAATTTCATAACAACTGTCTGCATTTGAGTTACGTATTCAACATATACAAAAGAAAGGACAAAGACCCTAAAAATCGAATTGTGACGGACTTTATAACTCATGGTAATTGTATCTGAGAAACAGCCGTTAACTATTGTGAAGGTTTTTCTAAATCATTGGAAAAAAAAAATTCTAAATTCTAAATCATTGGATTAGTTCTATCTGTAAACATTTATTACGCAGTTTCAACGCAGAGCCTTATGAGAAGTTTGATCGAATGCTTTAGAAAAGCCTGTAAAATGCCACTACAACAGGATTTTCATCATTGTGTAAACGGTATTATGAATAATTTCTACTAATTGTGTATTGAATAGTGAGATGAAAATCTGATTGACTGGCATTAATCAAATGATCTATCAAAATTTAGAAAATCTATTGAAAAATAAGACGCCCAAAGACGTACAACATTGCTGAGAGCAAGATAATTGGCATATACTTTGTTGCAACATAGATATATCTTTATTTACGTAACAAGATAATATGGCGTAATCTCCATGCAAATAGAATTCTGTTTTTTTATTGACAAAGTGAACAAATGTGTTATAGCAGGACTAAATAAGAAACATCGTCTTCCTACTGATGCTACGAGCTTCAGTTTTTTGTTCGTCGATTTTTAAGAGAAAAAACGTATACTTCTAACGTATTCAGAACAATTGAGGTGTGGCATTCCCAAAACATGCACATCAATCAAAGGAAAAAAAAGACAATGACACGGGTTCAAACTGGAAAAACATTTTATGCACTCCCAGATGTCTCGTCGTGTTATCTGTAATATAGCAGCTGGTACAACCTACATTTTGAAAGAAAAACAGAAAAAACGATCAGAGATTTGAAGTCCACGCATTCATTGCAAAATAGTACCATATGAACACTAACAGAAAAAACGACGGTAATATAGAGCAGATTTGGTAATTGATCGAATAATGAGTGAGGCAAGTTCAACATATCCAGAGTTCATAACTGAAGTATCATCGTGAATATATATGTATTTTATTGATGAATAATATACAAACGATAATTAAAATAATGATTTATAATGTTTTTATTTTTATCAATGTCTATTAACATAAAACCGATCTTCTTCTCTCATTGGCTTTTCGAACAACATCGTTTAACTCCGCTTCTTCCAAAAGAATTAATTTTTCGATTTTAGCCAAATTGTCAGTGATACAAGCCAAATACGTATTACCCACAGTTGGTTTCATCGGAATGAGATTTTCAATTTCTTCAGCTTCCATATCATCTGAATCAGGCAAGACACATTCCTTAGCACCTGAAAACACAGAAATTTACGAGTTATGAGGGGAAAACATTTCTAGAGTGCAAAGTGCTCAGTTATTTTTACTATCGATGAGCATCTAATGTTTACTGATAGAAAGTAGCATTAGCTGATATCACTACATTTACCTTTTTGTTGATATTGAAATTGTTTCATTTTTTCATAAATTCTTCCACGAAGCGTAACTAAATTGGATTGATCAAATTTAAGAATGTAATGATCGATAGGTGGTATTGATGACGTAACCCATTCTTTCTTAGCTACCGCTAATTTACCAATAAAAGCAACGTTTGACTTTTCTAAATTTTCAATTGCACTATCCTTCCCTTTTGATATCATTTTTAATAGCTAAATTTGTCAAAAAAAAGTCATATAATCGAGTTTGTTAAAAGAAATATTAAGCGATCTGATCTGAGAAGTTACACACAAATATTTAATTCTTACCGTTCTGCAATCGTTTTAATAACCAGCTGCACTATTCGAGCCTGTCCAAGCAGAAAGATTTGGTTTTTACTCTTAAAGTTATAACAAAACAAGTATGTGTTCTACAAACCTATGTAAATACTTAATAAGAAGGAGTCTATATGTCTTTGTCAAAATTATGAATGTTTGATATTAGAAAAATGAGAGAATATACAGTTGATACAACAACTAACAGTGGAGTATAGTTAATGGTATGTCCATCGTTATTATTATTATTCTCCTAATCCATCAACTCTTATGGTCTATGTTATTTTTCATTTATATTTTCTTACATGTACATACATAAATGAAATAGAAGAAGAAAAAAAATAGATAATTCTTTAAGAATATACTTATTAGCTATTCTAGCACACCGAATCGAAGCATAAAAGGCGAAAGTAAATGACACACACAGAAGAATATTCTTAATGAATCTTGATGAAAGATTATTATTACCCCTTTCTTCTATACCTTCTATGTTTATCAAAAAAATACGAATACACATCAGTGACACACACTAATAGATTGACTGTGATGAGGACGACCATAGAAGAAAGAGAGAGGAGGTTTGATTCTAGTAACAGTTCACCATAATTAATTTTGTGAGAAAAATATTGACCTTTAAATTAACAAGAAATATCTATACTTGTTCCAATCATGCACTTGATATATTTTTTATATTTGAAATAATAACTTTTGATTTGTACAAGTGAGTGATATTAAGTCACGCTGAATTATTTAAAATGAGATCTATCAACTAGATTATTCATCACACTTTTCATTCTAGATTTCTCTTATAATGAGATGGTATGATAAATTATGGTGTGGTAAAATAATGCGAGGATCTGTGCAAAAAAGAAACTAAAGTTTATTCAAGTAGAATTGTATGCTGATTTCAAAATTGATTTTAGCTTTCCAGATAATTACACACCAAAAATTAGAATCAGTAATTACTATTACGTTTAATATGTGTAAAGTCAACGATCCAGGCAGAATTGATGTGAATATTTTTGCTATAGTAGCATATTTCAGTCTTAATAGTTAAATTCTCTCCGTTTTCCGACACATCATGAGTGAGAGAGGGAGAAAACTCTCCTCTTTTTTTATCAAAAAAATATTTTGATGTGTACTTTATCTGGTCAAGATAAGTGATAGTGATGATATTTCCTTTTGCTGAAACAAAAGTTAAAAAATCACAGCAAGACAACATTGTAAACAAGTAAGAGTAACTGTTTATTACCTATGAAGCAGTTTGATATTGTTTGTAATTTTTTACTCGTTTTATGATCAACAAAACGGTATTTTAAAATGGTCTTCGCCTTAAAAATACAGGGTATTCCAAAAAAAAATTACCCTCTCTGTATTTATTGGCTTTCTTGTGCACAAATATAATTGGTCTTTTTACAATCAGTTGAGTCGAGTAGAGAAAAGATTTCTGGACAAAATGAGATGTCTTTGAGCTCTCTAAGAGCTTTTCTCATAAAACAGCATTCAATTTACGGAAGGTCCCATACCAACAAAATCAATGGGAAAACAAGAAAGATACGCTCTTAGGGCCTTCCGTAAAGTGAATGCTGTTTCATGAGAAAAGCTCTTAGAGAGCTCGGAAGCGTCTCATTTTGTCCAGAAATCTTTGGTCTACTCGACTAAACTGATGGTAAAAAGAACAATCATATGTGTGCACAAGAAACCGAATATAGAGGGGCTAAGTTTTTTTTGGGACACCCTGTAGTATTGTCGCAAATAAAAATGGACTAGGATGCTTTTTGAATAACCTTTGACAGAAAAGCGGTAAAGGCTTCCGGTCTTCACCAATAGAAGCCCAGACCTGACCACATGTTTTAATCACGAATATCATTTTGAAAATTTTCTTTCAAAGTAGGTTTTTCAGAGGATCTTTAGAAAATCAAACTTATAATTATTATAATTATTTATAATTACTAAAAACTTATAATGAAAGTATTTTGGGTTCTTTCAGCTTTTTTGATAAACATGACTCTATCATCGAAAAAGTCAACTTTTTCGATGATAGAATCATGTTTACAGGACAAATTTAGCCATACCCTACATTTTGAAGTTTTGAGCTCGTTTTAATGCTTTTTGAGTAAATTATAAATTTTTTACTATTAGGTGAAAACAACCGCGAAATCCCAGTTTTTACCAGATTTTAGAATTCTTTTCTAAAAACAAACATTGCCACGAGGTTCGGTGTGGTCGATTACGTATGTTCCATGTGATCTCAAGCTCATACCAAGCTACCGGATGCCAGTCCTGGGACTCTAGCGAAGTCTAATACTACAATCGAATCGCCGAAAATCAAGGTCTCGCTTGACCTCCATTTTGAAGAGGCCACTTTAGACTATTTGCCTATGAAAAAAATCCAACATATTTTTATTATAAGTGTTTTAGTAATAACATGGTTTTCTAAAAGTCCCCTGGGAAACCTACTTTGAAAGAAGATTTTCAGAACGATGTTCGTAATGAAAACATGTGATCAGGTCTTGTCTTTCAATTGATGAAGATCGGAAGTCTCCACCACTTTTCTGTCAAACATTATTCGAAAAACATCCAAGTCCATTCGTTTTTTCCCCGACAATAACCAAAATTCTATATTTTTTAGTAGCTGTCATGATAATTTGCGACCTTGAACATGACCAGCCATAACAGTTATTAATTGAGAGTGCCCTCCTCCTCTTTTTAAACAGAACTTTTTGATTTTGAATTGAACATAGTTTTGTTATTTGTTTATAAACAAATAACAAAACTATTTATAAACAAATAACCTGATTGCACTAACAGGTGTCTTCTGGCTATAATTAGAATTCTTCTACGTCACAACTAGTTACATTAGAATTCTTTTTTTTCTTTTCGGCGTTTTGCCAGAAATCATCGTTTTATTTAAAATTTTTTATTTAAACTGAGAAGAAATAACTGATAATGATCACAAAGGAGGTGGAATATAAGCAACAAAAACACAAAAATACTTTCACTTTTCTGTTCTGGAATAAAACACTTAGCACACATTTTGTACAGAAATTGACGGCGCATTGGAAAAATATACGTCTTAGCACTGAACAGAGAACAATTTATAGTTGAAAAATGGAGAGGTTCATTTATTATGAGACACCTGTTACTGTGTATGTTAAATTTATCATTGTCAATCGAGATCTACAGTCGGAATCGAAGATATGTTAGACTTTTCCAAACTCAGTTCTATATATACAACTCTTAGAAGCACTTCACGGAGAAAAAAGGTTCTTTGTTTGGGTTTTTTATTAAATACACTTGTGGGGAATATAGTGAAAAACTGACTTCATGTGAATAGTCAAGGTTGA